TACTGCTATTTTTAGCGGAATTTCCTTGATCGCCATCTCTAGTATGATAAAGGTGAGAAGTATCTCACTTTAGAAAGAACTCATTCAATAAGAGACGAAGCTTCATGAAGATAACTTGTCGAAATTAGTGATAAAGTCTCTCATATCATGCTTTTTTAAACGAATAATGCGTTAAACAGAATCTTACACAATGTTCTAGCAGCATAGAGCAACAAACGGCGCTTTCTCTCTAAACAGGTCATCAAGAAGTACAAGCTAACAGTTGTTCACTTGAGAGTTCAGCCCGAATATTGATGATACTTTCAGGTAATCACTATCTGGTTAAAGGAGTACTATCTGATTCAATGAAACGTCCCGCTGTTATCTAGTGGGTAGTCGTCGGCGAATCTTAATTCGCAGAAAGGAACAGTGACACGTCACGTAGACCAATAAACTTTAACCTCCGCTTATTCAAAAATACTACGCTATTTTATCAGCTACTGCACTTTTAACGTCCTCTGCCCAATTAAAAAGGTTGATGTTTCCAATCGAATGCATACCGGTTTCATTAGGAGTATTTCTTAGTTAACTCGAAAAAATAAAATACAAATAGAAATTTGGTAAAACAAACAGATCGTCGCAAATAAACAATTCTACAAAAAAAAACCACTGCTGCTATTCCCATCTTTTTATGATGATATCGAAAATGCGAAAGCGATCATTAGGCAATTACCTCATGAAATGAACAAGTGAAAGAATTAATAAAATAAAAACCTTGCGTTTCATGATTGCCAGAGTCCTGCTCCACGATTTCGACTGCTTCTGAGCACTCAACGAGAGGGCATAGCCCCTTCTTGTTCATTTATAACTGTAACAATTTAAAGACATTTATTACAACAGATAAAGATAGTAAGAATGAGAAAGACAGCATCACACAAATGATCGCGGAAACGCCTTGCACTTCTATGTAGTCATTTTCTAAACACTGGAAATAAGGAACAGAACGAAATGCATGACCTGAATTCTTAGAACTTCGAATAATTTCACATACAACGTAAGTCAAGAAGTATCCGCAAATGTCGATGCACTGATGCATTCGACGAGACCACAGATTATGGATCGATGCGTCGCAGCTCGCACCACGCTTACTGCAGTCCATGAAATTGCGCTGGGGCGTATGTATATTGTGCTATCGAAAAACAAGATGATTCAGAGCTATTAGAAAGTTTTTAAAAAGTTCCATCTCTCCAATTTCTACTTCTTGGTGGTTAATTTGCTCTGAAATTAGGTACAAACTCTCCGTCTTTCCTCATTTCTGTTTAAGGACACTTTTTCTTACTTCCTTCACATGTATTTTCCATATGAAAACGCAAGGAAAAGTTTAACGACGGTTTTGGCGACGTAAGGATAAGTTCTCACAAATAGACTAAAACTTTGATGAAAAGACGATGTATGCCTTTGCATTTGACTGTTGATAACGTCCGAAAGCACTTTTATGAGGAAATATACTTCCTGGCGCTGCCTTTTTGCCTAAGCAAAATTAAGGAAGCCTCCTTTTGTCGTCAAGAAACTTTTACGGGTAGAAAGAATGTGGAAGTGCCATAAAATTGCAAGCTACATTTTTCGCTTTTGCTTCTAATAAGTAGCGATGTAACTCGTAGACAATAATAAATTAGACATTACTGAAAACAAATTCAACTTTTATGTAAACTACCTCTGAATTTATGAGTATTTTTCATATTTTCTCACCAAAATTCAGTACACGATATGACGATCGGTGTCGACAACATTTACCATTACCTGAGCGTCATAATTTAACAAAATATCCAACTGAGCAGAAAATATTGTTTGTTCCAGGTGTTCTGAGTTGTGCTAAATGTCCTCGCCGAGCTTACAGCGTCCCAATGTTCACAGTCAGCCATCTCACGTAAATTGTGCACCAGACGTTTGTTGGAACAGGTACCTTCACCTTTTTCATTTTCCGTTTAAATTGCTTTTTTTGAAATTTTTAATGGTCATTTTTTGAATGGGTTCACTTCATACCGTAAGGTAAACGTTCTCATAAAACAACTATATCATTGTGCTCTATTTTTACTTAGATCAAATAATTTTCGGACATTGCTTCGCTCTCCTGTTTGGACTTTG